TTGAAGAATCGGGGTAGGGGGTATGGTACCCTCCTGGCCACCCCACCCACACATAATATACTACGATGACGCTTAAAGCTCCCTAGAGTGATAAAATGCATATGCAGCACACTCATTACTTACCTTAAAATATTCGTAATTTTAACGGTCTTAATGTAGGGCAAGAGGTGAAAAGTATTTATTTGTAGAAAGTCATGTGGAAGGTATGGCATCCTGTGTACCAGTTGTCTCTACAATGGTACAGTAGAATAAATAAAGACCAACACTTCCATTCTCATGTAATATATAGAAGGAATGATGCTCTGACAAATTATTATTGCAAACTATTATTACAAGTTGTTATAATTATAATAAAACAGAAGCATTAAACCTACAAGGGTTATGAATGGCTATAGATAGTGAAGGCATACAAAAGGAATAAATTTCTAGTTGTTACTGGTGTTTGACTAGAGAAAACAAAATTCTTCCAACTCTCCTACGAACCGCTTAATAAACAAATCTCATATTTGTCAATTTTTATACTGTGGGTGTATGTATCATGTTTATATGTTACGTAACATGTTTATTATATAATTTTGAAAAAAATATTGTAGATGGATTAATGGAAGTGTCTATATTAATGTAATATAAGACATTTACCCCTCAAGGAAGGTTCCTTGATGTTGGTGAGGGGCTCTTGATTTAGGGAATTGGATCTGTGCTCCAGTTCCCCGAATTAAGCCTGAATGCCTTCCACATTCACCCCCCGGGGACGATGAATCGCTCCGGGTTTTTTTTTTAAGGTCGCTTCCCCGGATTTTATAATAATAATATGACATTTAATGCGCCCAAAAGATAGTAATGGCATGAGTAGGACTCTCGTAGAAGGATTTTAATGTGTATTGCATGCCAGCACAGTGTGTAAGTACGTGGGGCCCTCCGCGCTTTTCGTAGTTCCCGGCAATCGTAAAAATTGCCAATCTGTTAGGGGTATTTTCGATATTTAAACATGGGACTCGCTTTTATAGGTTGGACTCTGTGCGAGTCGTTGTTTCGTCCGACACGTGTACCCACGGCATGAAGCCAGGGCGGCAGCCATTCTGGCATTGTTTACCAAGTGAGCGAAGGTCCCCTCCCCTGATCAGCGGAAAATATTTCATAATATTCCATTTATTTGGTGCTTCAGTACTAATAAGTACACATGGCTCCTAAGTAAGCTCTTGTGCCAGATAGCCTGTGGTAAAGGAAAGGATGTGAGAATCGATTGAATTTAAGGAAAAAGACCATCATTGAAACAATATGAAAGGGGTAAAGGAGTGGCCTGAATGTCCAGGATGTATAAGAAACCCTACAAACTTATGTTCTTGAATGCCAGAAAAATGATATAAAGGTATGCTGGTGGTTGCAAAGGGAGGTAAACTATGCTGACAAAATAATGAAGCGATCACCAGTACAACTGGAAGACGGTGGTTGAGTAAGTTATTATTGGTGTGGATAACTGGAAACAATTAGCAGGAGATAACTCTTAATGCTTCGTTATTTGGGAAAGGATAGGCAAGTGGCATGAAGATTGTAAAGAAATTGCCTGCACAGGTGGTCGAAGTGAGTGAATTTAAGGCCAGCAAGGTGCTGGTTTGAAGAGATTAAGAACCGTACTGGCATAGCACAGTGTGGTAGGCATGGTGAGGCTGCCAGTTCGACCACAAGGCTGGTGAAAAACTTGTGCATGAAATCCAGGAGTACATAGAGGCATGAAGGACGGAAACTGAACACAGTGTTCAACCTTGTGAGAAACAGGCCTCTTTGGACGAAAATGCAAAGGATCTTCCATTCAAAGCGGAAAAGGCAATGCAGGACAAGCCTATGAAGGACAGGATGATGCTAATGATCTTGCTAATGCTAGTTGGGGATTTCAAGTGAAAGCCATGAGAGTTTTACAATTCTGAAACTCCCAGTGTGTTCAGGGAAGAAAAACAATGGTTCTGGAAAGAGTAAATTGTGTGTGTTTTGGAAATGCTAATCGTAAGACATGGGTCACGAGGGAAATTTTCGTCGAGTGTTCAGTTGAAGTGTTTGGCCCTAGTGTGAAGGAGTATCTCTGGAAAAAGAAATAGCGATTCAGTGCATTGAAGTAATGGAGCGAAAGCACTCTGCTACATCTACAAACTTGGATGGACTCATTTTTGAGGAGTTTGGGTTTCATCACAGTAAAGTTCTTGCCCCGAATACCCACTTCCTTCCTCAAAACCCATGGCCAGCAGGTTATTGCAAACTTTAAAAAACTACACACAAAAGCATGTTTCTCAGGTGGCTTGGACTGTGACCACTAGACCTCACTTGGACACCTAAGGGGAAATTGGGGAGATGAACCACTTCAGCATCCTGCCACTGCATAACCCCCCTTATAGGTATCGGCTTGGGAGGGAGTGACTACAGGACTTTGAACTCTGCCTGGAGAAATAATTGTGGCCAAATTGTGTCAACAAGATGGGATTTTGAAGGATTTGGGACGACCCTATGAGCCTATGTCTGTTGTGTAAATCAATTGTGGCACTGGGGAGTTCCATGGGGTTGGATGGGAGTTTGGAGGCATGTGGAAGAATTGGTGGAAAAGACACAATGAAGAGTCAACCACTTGAGGAGCTGCAAGAGCTTCAGCAGGAAGAGGCAAAAAACAATCGCAGCTCCGAATCTTGCTGCAGAGGAAGAGGAAGAGAGATGGAAGAAGGGGCGCCTCTCAGAAATTAAGTGATTTTTTACTAGGTAGGGTAAGAATGGAAAGCTTGTTGGAGAACAATCACCCTAACAAGGTTTGTTGCAGTGAGCCAGGTTGGCAACATGTTACAGTGACACAGTCTTGGGCCCATTTTAGGGAAAGTGTTTAAAGAGGCTACTCCAGAAACAGAAGCTCTCTCCACAGTTTTTTGTGATGCAGGACTCCAGTGGCTCTCAAGGTGTCCTCGTAGCATTAAGAAACAGAGAAGAGAGCAAACCCGAAAGAAATGGTATCTGAGGTGTTGATGGGAAGGTGGATCCCCTTCCAAACCTATAACAAGTCCACTCTCTCTCCTCCTCAGTCTCCCATACAATAAGAGAATCTCCAATATAACGGTATAGTGTTTATGCTGTGTTAATGTTTCATTCTATCAGTCCCATTGTATTGTTCCGTGTACTAACATGTATATTTCATGGTTAAAAACTTTTTTTGTTTAATACTTTGGGTGTCAGGAAACGGAATTAATTTATTACAGTATTTCTTATGGGTAAAATTGATTCGTAAATCGAAAATTTCGCTCAGGAACGGGAAATTAAATTCGAACACGAGGGACCATGTATATTTAGGTTAGGTTCGCATAAAGTATAATTATAAGAGTATATAGAAACTATGCAGTACTTTAAAAACACTTGAAATTTTTGGAAAATGTTCCAGACATAATAGAGTCTATGTCATGGAGAATGTAAATAAAACTGGGTGGGGACACCATATTTGAAAGAACCTCACTCAATAGCAAATTTTGGTCATAATTTGAAATCGCTTGTATAGCGGAAACGTATAAGGCCAAACGCTATAAAAGCACGGCTACTGTATAAAAACAAAAGGGCATCACAACGTAATAAGTACTGTAATAACTATTAAAGAACGAGATGAGTACAATTGCCATGTTGAGTACAAGTGGTGCTGGGGCTTGTCAAAATTCCATAGTCAAGCCATGGGCCTATCCCTTAGTTTCGCACATACTAATCCACAAATGGGAAGGAGACTCGTTGTTTTGGTTTCTTGGTCATTTTTCAGTCCTCAGGCCGTGGCAGACTACATATTTGGGACCCTGAAACTTGACCTTTCTTGGCGGACAGCTTTACAATCCTTCTTATACAGTAGGAGGGGAGTGCGGGAGGATGGAAGGAATTCAGGCTTAATTTAGGGAACGGAGCCACAGATTCAATTCCCCTATATGCTTCATCCTCCCCCCCCTCCCCCACTTGATACATGGAATTGGATACTGTGCTCTAGTCCCTAAATTAAACCCGGAATGCCTTCATCCTCCCCACCTCCCCTCACCTCCCCCAGGGCTGTATAATCGCAGGACGGTTTAGTGCGCCACTTTATTTTTTATTGTAGTCACCTATTATTGATAAATGCCTAGTGGGGTCTTCAGCACAGAGAAGTTCGTGTACAGTAATGACTCTTGAGTCTTTATGGGAAGAGCGGATGAGTGTTAGCTCTTGGTCCTGGTCCTGCTTGAAGAGCGTTTCAAACAACAAAGATAGTACAACTTTGTTGTATCTACTTTTTTGTTGTTTGGGTTTACTTACTTTTATGGTGGTGGGTTTGTTTATCCTCTACAAACTCATTTAATAATTTTAGAGAACAAAACCTCTAAGTGGAATGTACTTATGATAAAAAGTCAAATGGCTTTTCTTTGACATTTATTTTTTAGCATAATTGTTGCTACCATTGCTGCATAAGAAAAGGTGGGATAATGGGGTAAGAAAAAACTTAACTGACCACTTATTATTAAATACGTATGTATAAACATTTTATATTTTAGGTCAATTTCTTGTGTCTGTTACAGAAAGCGAGAAACACATTTTTACTTCTAAACCTTTCAATATGGTACATAATACCTGATAATAGTCAAATAGACTAGATGGTATGTAAGTCCTTGTTACTGCTGCTTGGAAGACATGCCATAAACATTACACTGGAATAAAGGAATAGCCAACGGCCGTAGGTAGATATTTTTTTTTTTTTTTTTTGGTGAGGTATCGCTAAAGAAATGTATAAAAATATCTGCTATACTCACTTTAAAACATTAAGGAGAGCAAGCGAGCTCTCCCTCCATGCCGTCATTGTACATTCTTTTGCACTCATCCTCACTTGTACATACATTCACTCAACATTTCTCACTTGTACACTAAGGAAAGATCTAAGCTTTCACCAACATTTCAGGGCCTTTTCATTTTTGGAGACTTGAAATTAAAACTTTTTTTTCCTTGCCCCCATGGACTATAAAACAGTATTTTTCCTTTAGAACCATTGCAAACTTTATTGTATGTATAAAACACCACTTCAGGAAGGAAGTCTTTGGCATATGATGGTAGTCCACCAGTGTTATAATGAAGATGGAGTGTGCAGAACGGTTCGTTGTAGATTGAGATGTGAATCATCTTGTGTGAAGCGTCAGTTATGCTAGTCTGGACGAATCGTGGGCAGAAGCTGGAATGAGAGTATTGAAACTTTAATATTGAATAATATTAAAAAAATTCAAAGTTCAGCATCCATGAATACGATGAATCTATTAATTACGCATATGTTGTACCGAATGCATGTGTGCTACACTGCAATGTAAATGCATATTTTGTTAACTGGAAAGTAGCATATCTGCTCTACCAAGAGAATGACAGGGAGATGTGTAGAATCTACAGCTATTTACATAACATACCATTACACAGAACTGGAACGTACATTTTTGGCAGACTTTATCTTGAAAATAATTTTAAAACAGCACAGGAAATACAAATTACCAGCATCTGACTCCTTGGACCAAACCAAACCCAACATTACCCGACCTCTGTGGTGGCCATCTCGCCTATGCTGGACCTCACCTCTGCCCTGCACCTGTTTTGACTACCATTTTAGTAATATGTACAGCTTACTGATCTTCAGTAATTTTCTTGTACTTGATAAAAACTTCTCATAGCTAAAAAAAATTCATTTTGATAAAAGGTCTTGTGCTATATCATACATTTTTTTTTTTTAGCTACTATTGATTATAATTGTGGCTTGCTCCTGTGGCACAGTTTGGGACTGGGCCTCCTAAATCGAAAAGGAAACAAAATGAACTATTAAGGAAAACACAGGAAAGTAAAGTACACAGTGAATATAAATAAAACTTTGTAAGACTTACCTGTCATCTTAGGTGCTTGTGAGACAAAGAAAATGTCAGCAATCCTGCCCAATTGCAAAAGGTGTGTAATAAGCTTCTGTTTTATATTCACACTAGAAAGGTTTTTTATAAGAGCTGGTTTTTAAGAATTTGCATAATCATATTTGCCTGTTTTCACTAGGGGGCAGTGGTGCAGCCATGATGGTGGGGGGGGAATTCTTTATTTTGCAATTAAGGCTTATTTTCACTATTATATTGACCAGTGATTACAGAAGCACAATAGTTTTAAGAAATTTTATATGCTGAAAATCTCGTATTTTTCTAGATTTTTTCCTTCAGTATTTTGTGATTTTAAGACTTTCCAAAATATTGAAATCCTGGCTGCACTACTGCCTAGGGAAAAGGGATGTCTTTGGCTGACTCAAACTTGAGTACTTTGAGAATATGGGACTGACCATTATAAATCATTAGGAGAGAGCTCGTAGCTGCTGCAGGAGACTGTCTATGGTCATACCTGCACCCAGGACATTGTCTATGTCTTCTCCAGTTTGACTGGCTTTGTTCTCTGTATATGGGAACCCAGGCCAAGGGCACCTCTTCACCCCACTTCTGTAGGCTTCCCGACGCACCCAGCAGGGAACTGCCCCTCTGGGAGGTAGATGAGAGGGGCTACCATTAACAGAGGCAGGTCTGACAGCTACATGGCGAGCATGGTGGATGGTTTCTCTCAAGTGGCCATTGGTGTAGATGTTAAGGTGCGGAGCTGGGAACTGGTAGATGGTTGGGCCAAATCTGAAGCCTCCATTTTTTGTAGAAGGAATAGGAACACCTATTGTATTGCGAACTGAGACTGAGCTTTCTCCTCTCTCCATTATGCCATTTTCTGAAAGTTTGAAAAAAAAAAAGTTAAAAAATACAAGACAGTGCCTTTTAATATGTATTGGTTACTCAAGATTGATAGTAGTTTATTTTCCGTGTATGTACAGTAACTCCTCCTACGGGAAACCCTCGTGTTACAAATGTCTGGGTTAAGGTGCTCCTCTCGTACAATGCTCATACTAGGTACAGTATTGTGGAAAAGGAAGATTTTGTGAATGGAGGTCCAGAGTTATGAAACATGAGTGAAAAACATTTTTAATATAGTTAGCTGTAGGAAAATAGGTTCCAGAGTACTGTACACAAAACTCGATCCTAAGTCGGAATGCCTGGTACACATCTGGTATTGGAGCTGGAACGTCAAGAACATGTCTCATGTGCAAGTTGGTGACCCCTGCCCCCCCTCCTGTAAAATGATCTTTTCCATCATCTGTGTATGAAGAAACTCTTTTAACTAGTACAGCTTCCTCAGGAAATGCACAACTTAAACTAGATTTATAATGTAACTGATACAGAATATTGTAGTTTGCCCTTTAGAGTAACTCCTTGTTGTGGATATAGAATGTTTTGCCAGTTGTTGAACTCTGTCAGATACATAAATGCTGCCTTCCTTGTATCCCCTTAACAAGTGGTTACCTTTCTTGTATCCCCTTAACAAGTGATTGCCTTCCTTGTGTCCCCTTAAGTCAGTGGACCTTGCCAAACGTTTATTAATCTGTTCCAGGGGGTTTAATCTTTAGAAAATTTATTTTTTGTGAAAAAAATTTTTCCCCCGTAAAGAAAAAAAGGGAAATTTAAATTAATCCTTTCCCAGACAGTTTAAAGTATTAAAAAAAAAAAAAAAAATCATGAAATTTTTTTACATTTCCCTAAAAAAGAAAACAAGGAGACATGAAATAACTACAAAAAACAAATGCAAAAAATGACATTTACCTTTTTGAAAAAGTATTGAGGAGACACTGTTTTTCTTGCCCCACTTTTTGGGATTTTCAGTGTTTCATGAGAAAAGGGTTCACTTTCAACCCCCACTAGATTGCAAACAAAACTTGAGATTTTGCCTGTTTTTTATTGGCTTGTGTCCTGGGAGTGTCTTTTCCTCATGAGTAAGGGAGGTCTGTTTTGGTTTTTCCCTTCCAGAAGGGGTCTTTTTTGTCACAATTGAACAGTTTTTGGGGGTTGGGAAAATTTTTCAGCTTCCCATGTTAAATCAAAAAGTGTATCCCAAACTACAAAATTTTTAAAAAATCTCTAAAACCCAAACCCTTTGGGGGCCTTAAATTACAATATAAGCACTAGTTCAGGCTTTTTTTCCCTTTGTTCCCCGGGGTTTGTTAGGCGATTTGGTTGTGGGGTCTCCTGGGGGATAAGATTAAGGACCCCAATTGAAATAAATTAGTCCTCGATGATGCACTGATTTTTCCCTTGGGTTATCCGGGGGTGGCAAAACCCCTCGGGGGTTAAAATTGTTTTTCGGAAATTGTTTCTCATTAAGCCCCCACCAAAAACCCCATTTCTCCACTTCTTGGGTTTTGTACGGCTGATGGTGGGGGCACACCCGCTGACGGTGGTGCAGCAACGTGACTGGGGTTTATGATAGTATTTCTCACCCTTTTTCCCACAGGGTTTGGCATTTGAAGCTTTTTTGGGGCCCAGGGTTTGGCTTATTTAGCAATTACAAGCACAAAAAACAATGGAAAAATAAAAAAATTTATCAATTTTAAAATGTGGGGAAAACCCAATCCCCCCTGGTTGTAAAAAAATTGACGGAAAGGGGCAGATGAGGTGCTAAGTGGAAGGGCAGGTTGGGACAAATTATGTTTGTCGGTTTACACTCAAACGATTTTTTGGGGACGAATTTATCATTAAAAAAAACCTTGTTGGCCGAGGGTCCACTGTAGTTGATTTTTTTTTTATAGTATGTCAGCCACAGCCCCGTGTTTTCCCTTTTTGCAGTTTGGACCCCGAATCGCATGAAAGGTTTTCCCATTGCAGACACTGAAAAGGCCCCGGGCAGAAAATAAGCCAAACTTTAAAAGGGGCTGCAGAAAACAGTATGAAGTTCAAGATGGGAAAATTAAATTTACCCCGATTGGTAAACATGAGGAAATTAAAACTTACAAGTACAAAAAAAAATTTCCGGGCCCAAAAAAATAGGCAAAAACCAATGTCAAAGCCTGGGGGGGATCATGTTGGAGGATCTCACCTTAAAGGGGAAACCAAAAACTTTAAATTATAAAATTGCAGCTGCTAAAAAAAATTAAACAGGAGGGGAAAAGGGAAAAACCTTCAAAATAGGGATGCCAAGCCTTGATGCACTCTTTAGGTCGCTTTTTTTTTCTAGGCGGGAAATATTGCCTGACACAAACAGCACCTGTAAAGGGCAGGTGAAATTGCTGACCTAGAAAATTTGTACAGGGGAACCCTTTTCACGTGCTCATAAGGGAAAGATAAAACCCCTAAATTTTCTGGGAGCGCATAAAAGTTCCTAAACCTGTATTCCCTGGAACGCAAGGGGATTCATGATTTTATACACCTGGAAAATCCTAGAGGGTAGTACCAAACCCTTGCTTTCAAAAATTCATTCGCAAAAAAGAAAAAAGATTTGGCCCGGGACGATGCAACATCCCCCCCAATAAAAAGCAGGGGTGCCCACTAGCACTTTAAGGGAAAAAAAATTAAGGGTCGGGGCCCGGGAGACTCTTAAACTCCCCTCCCAGCTACAAAAGGGGATTCCCAAATTTGGGCCCCCTGGAAAAGTATTAAAAGCGGGGCTTTGTACAAGGACAATAAACCAAAAAGTGGGTTTACCGGGAACCAGCCGGGTGTGGCTTTTTACATTGGTTTGCGTGCGGGCACCCGGGAAAACCCACCCCGGGTTTGATCAGGCTCTGATCCCCCGGAGGCCTGGTCCCCCGGGCCCCGCGGGGGTGTTGACCCCGGAACACTCTCCGGGTGAACTCCAGGTTTGTACCCCTCCCACCGGGATTTTACGCCCGAGTTGGGTTTCCCGGAAAAACCCGGGGGCCCGTAAGTCGAACTTTACTATGAATACAAACAAAACATTTTTGTAATGCTTTTTTTTATTGTTTTATTTTGGAAATTTAATTTTTTTACTTTACTTATGTTGTTATTTACTGTATTTTATACTATAAAACTTAGGTTTAAACACGGGTGAAACACAAATAGTTGTTTATTTCCCAAAAAAATTTGGCAAAAAATTCCCTGGGTAAGTCGATTTGGTCGAAAATTTTGAGCGGGGTCGTAAGTGGGTTTGGGTAGGGGGTTTGTAAAATTAAAATTTATAAAAAAAGTGGCCCCCAGGTTAATGATTTTTTTTCCCACTCCAGAAGTTTTTTCGGGTGCCGTTTTGCCCGAATTTGTTCCCAAAAGAAATTTTGTGAATTTAGATTAGTCCATTTCAGGCCCCCCCAAAATAAAACTTAAAAACGCCTTACAAAAAATACATTTAAACAAAATTTGGTCGCATTCGGAGGAAAATTGTTATGGGGGGCCCAATGTATGTATATTTTTTAAATATAAAAATAAATTTATATATTTATATATTATTAAAAAAAAATTTTAAATAATATTTATAATTTTTAATTTTTTATATATATATATATTTATATTATTTATATATTATATATATTTTTTATAAAATTATATATTTATATAATTTATATTATATAATTTTTATATAAAATTTATATATATATAAAAATTTTATAATATTTTTTATTTTTTTATTTAAATATATATTTTTTATATTTTAAAATATTTTATATTTTATATAATATTTATATATATATAATATTTTCGTGGCCCCCTTTGCTTTACAAATTCACCCCCAAATTGCGCCCCCCTTTATTTTTGTGTTTTTATGTGGGGTGCGTTTTTTCTTGTTTTTTGGGGGGGTTCTAAAAATTGGACTAATTTAATTCACAATTTTCCTTTTGGGAAAAAAAATTTGTTCGGGTTAAATGGCGCTGAACATACTTTGGAATGAAAAAATCGTAAACCGGGGGTTTCCAATGTTTATGAAATTTAATATTTTATATATATATATTTATTTATAAAATATATTATTTATATTTATATTTATATATATTTATTTATATTATATATATATATATTATATATATTATATATATGCAAAAAAACCATCTGAAAGAATAGAAAAATTCCCAAGGGTGCTTTCGTGTTTTTCTCACTTTTTCCCTTTTTAAAATGGGGAGTAGTCAGGGAAAGCCCCTTGGAATTTCTCTATTCTTTCGGGAGGGGTTTGTTTTCCCTATTTTAAAAAAACCCTTTTTACTGTGATTTTTTTGAAATTTTTATATATATTTTTATTTATTTTTATATATATTTATTTATTATTTTTATTTATATATATTTATAATATATTTTTAAAATTATTTATGAGGGTTTTATATATATATATATAAAAAAATTTTTGAAATTTTATTTTTAATGTAATATATATATATATATAAAATTTGTAAATATTTATATAAAATATAATATTTTATATTTTTTATTTTTTATTTTATATTTAAATATATATTTATATATTTTTATATATATAAAATTATATATATATATATTTTAAAAGGTAAATTTACAGGAAAGAGTAAGGTTTTGAGGATAACAAAAAAAATTAGGTGATGAAAGATTGAAATTGATTGGAGGGGGGAAAAGTATGGAGGAGGGTAAAGTATTCAGATATTGGGATTGGCCGTGTCAGCAAAAGGGGTCTATGAAAGATGAGGTGAATCATAGAATTGTGGGGAAAAAAGAGTGAGGGGTTTGCACTTAGGGGTTGTGGAAAACAAAAAATTTTGTCCTTGGAGGCAAAGGGGGAATGTATAAAGAGTATAGTTTTACCAACGTTTTTTATGGGTTTTGAGCATGGGTAAAGGGAAGGGTTGCAGCGGGGAGAAGGCTGGGGCAGTGGGATGTCATGTCTGAGGGCAATGTGTGGTGGGGAAATTTTAATGCAGAGAATTC